TTTCGTGGCACCCCACACAAAGGGTGCCCCGTTACACCTGGTAGCACATTCGTAGTCCGTACAACGACTACTTAGTGCCCGTTCAACATGAAAACGTTGGACGTAGAAGACGACAGCTTTCGCGTCACATGTGAAGGCTACTCCCATCTGAGTGACTCATAATGGGAGATAGTCGGCCGCATGAGTGTGCTCATGGGCGAACCTGCCATCAGTGAAATGCAGAAGTCTCTAAACAGAGACCTGCAACATGCTTCTAGCAGCAAGTTTCTACAAGGGGAACTTGCCGTGAAAGACAGAAGATAGCCTTGTTACAACAGCAAGGCTATCATCAGTCGATGGGCGGGCCGAAGCACATGCGTCGACCCGAAACCTTGAAGATTGATATCTCAAGGTACAAGGGAACCGATGAAGATTCCCTTTTGAGATGGTTCGTCGAGTTAGACGATGCCATCAGGGTCCGTCACATCGAGGGTGACGAGATGCAAGTCACCTTCGCCCTGTCAAAATTGACAGGACGAGCAAAGACTTGGGCTTTAGGGCTCAAGCTTCACGACCCAAACTTGTTGAGTCGTTAGCGATCTTGAAGTCTCGGCTTAAAGAGAAGTTTGAGCCGCCACGAGCCGAGTTCAGAGCACGCTCTGCACTCCTAAGGATCAAGCAAGGTAAGCGTAATGTGCACGCTTACGCACAACACCTGCGCTACCTTGCGAGTAGCGTCACGGAAAACCCTGTTGATGAGCACCAGCTCATCAACGTGTTCGTCTACGGCCTTGTAGATGGGCCGGTGAAGATCTACATGCTCCGAGAGGACTTCCATACGCTGGAAAATACGACAGCGTATGCGGAACAAGAAGACTTCAGCCTGAGACAGTCTCAGGCTAACACGTCAAACTATCGTCCGACGAGACGACAGGAAACAGGAGGTCCCGGACCAATGGACCTCTGTTACATCGAGAGCAAGAAAACTCGCTCTCTGAGTCACAAGTGAACGGCAAGATGCCATCGCTGTCAGAAGATTGGACACTAAGCTCATGAGTGTAGAGTCCCAAGCACCGCATCACGTCCAAAGACAAGACTTGATGACCGCCGTTGGCCGAGGAAAGGTCCAAGGCAAGGGTCCGACCATGTCGCTAAATCGCAACATCAAGTCGGACCGCCAAAAACGGTCAGGGTCAGTAGTGTCGGAGCACCCTGCTGATCCAGCAACGTCAAGAGAATTTTGCAGGACTCTTGGCGAAGATTGATCCCAACACACAGTCACTGTGACTTACTGTCCCTAGTTATGAGGTGTCCCTCATCCCTTTGAAGATCAAAGTGACAAGTGGAATGTCACTTCGCACCCTAGTTGACTGTGAGGCGTCGAACAGTTTTATTCGACGCCAGTCGCTAGAGGATAGTAGACTCAACTATGTTGAGCGAGAGTTCTCTCCAACGAGGATGACGGTGTGGCTTGCAACAGGAGCATCCGTGACAGTAAACAAACATGTAGTGGGAATCCACTACACACTAGAAGGAAGGCAGTACGATGATGACTTCATCGCACTGGATTTGGATGACAAATTCGATGTCATCCTCGGTCTGCCGTGGCTTAGAAAGCACCAGCCATGGGTCAGCTGGCAGCATCGATCTGTGAAGATGTCTGACGTTTGTTCATCAGATGGACATCTAATGAACGTCTTGGAGCGTCCACAATCGTGTGGATTTACTACGAGTTAGTACGATGGCCTCACTTGTGGTACGGTCGTTAGTACGACTGCACAAGATCACAGTGTAGAAGGCCATTACACTGTGGAACCAGCTTCCGGAACCTGTGTAGAGACACAAGCTGCGCCGAAAGTTCACCACTCGAAGAGATAGAGTGGACTGGAACACGGATGCACACCAAGAAGGGTGTATCCGAGAAGAGAGATCAGTGTTGTTCAAGATGAAGAACACGCTGAAGCGGTATCGACAAACAGAAAGTCGATCGTAGAGCAAGCCCGATCGACTGAAAGAGAGTCGATCGAAGAGGATGTGACTGTGGTAGTGCACCCACAGTCAGCACACGTATTAGAAGAAAGTTCCAGCGTTCCTGAGAGTGATAACTTCCGAGAGAGTAATGTTGAGGGTGTGTTTCCCCAATCACCTGCGGATGTGTTTTTCCAGGTAATCACCGAGACAGTGAATGTCTTGGTGAATGACGGATCAAGTGTAGGCGCTTATACACTTGATCTGGATACAACTCCGAAGTCATCTTCGGAGGTAATCAAGCTGCCAACGCTATAATCTAGAATACTCTTGCAAGATCTGCGTAGTGACAAGATCAAGCAGATCTGCGTACTCGTCACAGAGGACGAGTACATCGCCAATATTCGGTCGGCACAAGTGTTTACCGAGAATGAACGGATTCTCAGTAGCTCATCGATGGACAAGGGTGTCTTCGATGAGAAGGCCCGGACTGAGTGATACACGTCTCAACCTTGGGATTTTTTGAAGACAAATCCTTTGTATAAGGATTTGGTGGAATTCAGGGATGTTTTCCCTGAAATCGTACCATGCGAGTTGCCTGAAGACAAAGGCACTCAGTATGAAATCGAACAGAAACCCGGTTAGAAGTACTGTGTCATGAAGCAGTGGCAACTGCCTCGTGAACGGGTCACAGCGATCGACAAATTCTGTGCCGATCGTTTAACGGCTGGTCATATGAGGGAATCAACATCCTCATACAGCTCTACGACATTCTGTGTGCGAAAGGCTACAGGAGGGTGGCGGATGGTTCACGGGTTCGACAAATAAATGCTGCAACGGTACCGGCTCAGACGTCGATACCAAAGAAAGAAGTCATCATTGATGGTATGACAAAAAGTACCATCTTTTCGTCCATGGATATGATGGATGGATATTATCAGATCCTCATGCGTGGAAAGTACATTTCGTAGACAGAAGTGAGCACCCCAGTGATATGCTCTGGGACGGGGGTAGTGATGCCACAGCGGCTAAGTAATCCCCCTGCAACGTTCAATAGATGTGTTCCGAATCTGTCGCGATCGGTGCGAGACTTCGCAACGAGTTACTTTGACGATGTCTTCTTCCATAGCCGGGCTGTGTATGGAAAGACGGACGTGGAGGTTCCACGTCACCACGTCTGGAAGGTTATTATACTTATGCGAGAGCATAAGTATAGAGTTGTTCGCGAACTTTAAGAAATGTATATTCTAAGGGAACGAAATACCACTTCTTGGCTGCATCGTGGGTAAAACAGCGTACGCCCTGATCCAAAAAAAAAAGATCCAGGCGATTAGCGACTGGCCCGTGCCAGTCGACGTCAAGGGACTTCGAAAGTTCCTTGGCTTAGCGGCGTACTTGCACAAGTAATCGCGCAACTACGCGATGTGGCCGTTCATCTCTCTCGTCTGCTACAGAAAAACGAGAGGTGTTCACAGAGTACTGAGTGTCAGCACTCCTTCAAAGGTATCAAAAAGCTTGATACAATCGCCTGTGTTGGCGATTGCAGATCAGGACAGACCATTTCATGTGATCTGTGACGCCATTGATTTTGCAATCGGCTGCGAATTAATTCAGTACGACTCAGACGGCGCTGAGCGCGTCGTCTGTTATCAATCGCGTGAGCTGCAAGCAGCTGAGCGTAATTACTCAGTGCATGACAAGGAACTCCTTGCGATGAAATACAGCACTGGATAAGGTTACGTTACATCGCCAAGGAGATAGACCCTTCATCGTTTATACCGACCATGTGTCATTACGCACGGCCGTATACAGTCCATACCTCCTGCAACGAACGGCGAGATGGATGTCTTTCTTCGCATAGTACAACTTCTCCGTCGAGTACAAACCAGGATGACTTAATGTCGTCGCAGTTGGCCTTTCGCGTCGGCCCGATTTGGAGCCGACTGCTCAACACAACAGTAGGGGTGAACCCACCGTTGCAACGCTATCAGTGAGTGTTCCGTCGTCGAATCTGCTTAACGACGTGCGGAATACATACGCAAGAAATGAGTCTCTTCTGCGGTTAATTGATTACGTGTCTAATCCATGCAGTCAAGCTTTGAAAAGCTTGACTTCTCAATACCGCTCTTCAACCCAACGGTATTAGATTCGTGATGGACTGCTGTACTATACAGCAGTCAACGGCGACACACCCTGTGTCGTATTTCCCGCTCATGATGATTTGCGATTGCGCATCATGTATGAGTGTCACGATGCCCCAACAAGTGGGCATAGCGGTAGAGAAAAGACTTACCTCTCGGTAAGTCGTGACTTCGGTAGAGAAAAGACTTACCTCTCGGTAAGTTGTGACTTCTACTGGCCCGCCAGTATGAGTCTGCTCGCAAATACATTCGCGCTTGAGAAGTTTGCCAACGGGTGAAGCCTAGTCCTTCATCCCGTTCGCTCTTGCAGCCTCTACCGATTCCGGCAGAGTGCTGGCAGTCCGTATCGATGGACTTCGTCTTTGGGTTTCTTAAAGACGCTCAAAAGAATACTGGTATTCGCGTATTTGTTGATCGGTTCATCAAGATGGTACATCTTGTTGCTGTACCGAAGCCAATCACAGCCCAGGCCTGTGCTCGTGTCTTCGTCGATACTTTCTTCCGACCTCACGGGTTAATCCGTGAACTCGTGTCTGATAGGGACCCCCGCTTCACAGCGGAGTTCTGGCAATCCGTGTTCCGTTCACTTGGAACACATTTTAGGAAGTCGACTTCTGACCATCCAGAAACAGATGGTCAGACGGAACGCGTCAACCGCGTCCTCGAAGAGACACTTCGAGGTACGTCCACTCGTTTACGAGTTGGAGTGATTTCTTGCCGATGGCGGAATTCGCCATCAACAACTCGGTGCATGCGCCGACAACGCATGCACCGTTCTTCGTGAATGGCCTACGGCATCCACGTTTACCCGCCTTCTTAGAGCGTGACTCTAGTTTAAGGGGGGGGTGGACTAGCTCGAACAAAAACCTATCTGGTTCTTTCTCATCACCCGTCGACAATGGTGTCGACGTGATGGATGCCGATGTCGACTACATCGACACCGATGATGATGATGAAGACGATGCTGGTATATTCAGCATCGCCAATAACTGCTACAGTGAGGAAGATGACACCCTTACTGGTGAAGACAAAGTTTTATCAGTAGTGCACACGAAGTGCACTGCTGTTAACAAGGATGAATCAGCAGAGGAATTTCTGCTGGCTCGCTAAGCGGTTGTCCGCTTTGTTCAAGACTCGATTGCAGATGCAATAGACAAGCAGAAAAGAAATGCAAACAAAAATAGAAGAGCAAATGTGCTTTCATTTGATGAAGGAGATTTAGTTTTACTGTCTAGAGTAAATCTAACACAACACGCAGTGACAAAAGTGGGCAGCAGGAAATTACTGCCCAAGTTTATCGGTCCATTTCGTGTGTTGCGCTGAATGGACAACGCATACACGATTGGACTGCCGCATAGGATGCGTACGCATCCTACTTTTTGCGTTGGACATCTCCGCCCGTACTATCAGTACGAGACCGTTTCGAGAGGCGAAGAACAACTCCACGGTCGAGGGCCGAGACCATCTCCGAGTGGTCCCGTTTCAACGAGCCAGTCTGGTCGACTAGCGAAGCGACCTGCTGACGCAGTTGAGCGATGTCTCAACGAACTGCAGCCAGTTCGTCACGAAGAGAACGAATCGAACGTTCGTTCTCAAGTTGTGCAAACGCAAACGCGGCACTATCATTCGAACGATCTTGCGCTAAGGAATTGTAATTGTTCTTTACAGTATCATCGAGCTCATAACGCCGAGCCCGTTCATGAGTCAGGTCATCGTGTAACTGTTCTGTTACACGGTTCAGTTTTGAACATCAAGCTGATCTGACCCTCGAGCCGGATCAGGTGCTCCCGCCACCACACATCCTTTGGTGTATTCTGGCGGTGCTCAGCGCTTTCTGGTGGAGCATATTTTGAACCACCGCGACGTGAATGGCGTCCGGACGAGCTACCTCGTCCGCTGGCGTGGCTATCCACCATCGTGGGACAGCTGGGAGCCTAGCGCTCAGCTGACCGCTGATGTTCCGGGTCTCGTCTAGCAATATGACGAGACCCACCGCTGCGTTCGAAGAGGGGCCGTCGGAAAAAGACCCCCCCCCCAAACGCGAGTACAGGGATTGCAAAGTGTCAATCCCTTCTGCTATCTCAGAAGAGATGCGTGCCCTCCAGTAGGGAACATTAGGGAGGTGGGCCTCTTTAGGGGCACGATTCGAGTTGCCTATGCAACTTGGACACGAATCACCCCACGAGAGACAGGGCAATCCTGCCTCTCTCGACATCCGGTGCAACTTGTATTGTACACCGACTGGGTTACGCTTCTCAAACCTGATGCGAGCTGCATCAAGTTTACCTAGCCAGGCCTCGCGGCCAATGCACTCGATGTGATGGATGAAGGCATTCAACCCTTGCACCAAGGCCTTACCTAGGCTCACGCAGGTGCTCCGTCTTGACGACTTTCGCTAATTCTGCAGACCCGCTTTCAGCCCCTTGCGGTCTCTAGAAGCGTGGACGATGGCGGATGTTGCACTCAGTTGCTGCCCGAAAGCGTATGTCAGTGACAGATTGATCTGGACTAAGCGGTTTACGTCACTGTCTCGACCACGGTTGCCGTTGTACCACCGATGATTGAAAATGCATCGATGAAGAAATCTTCCTCAGCACGAATAGTTTCCGTGCTGGAACTAGGTGGACAATTCCTCCTACAGCCGAGAAACGGGATTCGATCCCGATCGGTGGTCATGCCGGCCACTCGATCTAACTCTTTGAATGACGGCATCCAAGGAGACTCCACTTGAGGAGCGTGGCGCAGGACGTTTCGGTCCCTGGCCTCTTGAGTGGTTTCAGCATGAGCACTGACACCAGCGGCAGCTCGATCTCTCGAGTTGCCTTTCTCGCGGTGATACATAGGGACATCACCACCATCACCACGCGTCCTATCATCGGATGGACTTGCGTGAGGTGAGGATTCGTCAGAGGAATCGCTCGGTCCGAAGATCTCGGACATGATGCTGCCACGTTCATCAGAGCCATCCAACCTGGCTCTTGCAGTGTCCGCCCCAGATGATCCGGAGGCGTGAGGTGTCATCTTCGAGTCGGATGCACCATCCGACTCGCCAGAATACATGAGCTCTATTTCAGGCCCATCTACATTGCGAGCCGCAGTACCCGCTGCAGACGCAGAAGATGTATTTGTCGCACGTGGTGACTCACCACGTGGACTGTTCACAACAGACACCGCCTGTTGCTGGATCGCAACAGCAGATGAAGGATCACCTGCTGCTAAAGCAAGAGAAGGACCCTCTTTGGCTGCACGTATGCGTGCGACTGCCTTTCCGGCTGCTTCGACAGCGCACCGCATGGACTTTGACACCATGCGATGAATTGGCAAATGAGTTGTAATTTTACCAACTAGTGCCCCCCCCCTTCCCGGAGTGATCTAACAGTGGTCACCCTGTCCCAATCAATTAAATGCAATCAATGGGTGGTTGATAGTTAAAAGGGGGTAGCCCGTTACATGATATTGACACCAAACGATGTCAATAGGGAGATTGTCTCGCGTGACAATTCACTGCCAATATAATCCGAGATGGATAATATTGAAGCGATATTATCCCCTTTGTAGGATAGTATTGATGCGCTGCTCAAAGATTGGTTGATAAAGACGTATCAACCAAGGTTACCACCAATCGCTGCTAGACGCTCGCAGTGAGTGGTGAGCAGGTTGTCGTCATACGACAATGTAGATTACTATAGTTAGATAAAGACTGAAGTTATGTTGATAGCTTAGCTATAGTAAACACATTTCTCTTTTTACCTTTACTCAAACTAGCTGTTAGGGTAGACTAGCTTCCTCTGCACGCACTAGTGTACGTGAAGTTTTGTGGGAACATAAACAAAGGGTGCCCCGTTACACTTTCTTTGTAACGGGGCACCCTGAAGCTTGTACTGATGACAGTACAAGCTACTTATTCTGATGACAGAATAAGGCGGTGCCTCGGAGCTTCACGTACATTCGTACGTGCAGAGGAAGACGGTAAGAAGAAGCGAGTACTTAGTTAAAGTAAAAAGTAGAACTGTATTTATAATAGTTAATGTCTGCAATAAATCACTGTTTATCTTCATCTAACTATGTCTAAATACAAATGTGTAAATCAGTTATCTGCTCACCACTCATTGCGTGCGTCTGTCGTGGCGCGTCTTCGTTGGTTGATATAATGGCCTATATCAACCAATTAGGAACTACTCGTAAGTGCTACAGAATATTTGTCCTTATGATAATATTCTGAGAATATAACTGTTATAGTTATATTCTATTAACAATTTCTTATAAATTGTTATGTAACGATTCACCCCGTTACATCACCCCCCCTTAACCATCAGTCACTTTAGTGACTGATTGACTAAATGGATACTCGTCCCAAATCATTTGGGACAGGGTTTGCACTTGTTGGTCCGAGTCCACTTTCCAACAATTCATCGCATGGTTAACAAGCCCATGCGATGCGCGAGCAAGGCCGCCGAGAGCGCGTCCGTACGTCTCTGTGCGGACGCCGAAGCAGAAACCACAGAAAGTGATGTCTCATCGGTTGCTGAAGCGACTCAGCCTGTGTCACTTGGTGATGCAGGCGCTAGTCATGAAGACACTCATGTCTTCACAGAGTATGAGCTCGGTGTCTCATACTCTCCTGATACGGAAGACGGATCCGTATCGACGGCGATTGAATCCAAGCCGCCTGCCAAGCGTGGCATGGATGATGCTATGCGTCGCAGCATCTTTGGTTCATCTGATTCATCAGATGAACCATCGCCGAAGCGAAGGCGCTCGAGGTCGCGAGACTCGGGCGCTAACAGTGGTGTCGATTCTCCTATTGACACCACTTCACAGCGAGGTGCCAGTACTTCTGTCGGCACATCGCAGGAAGAGCGGGACCGCAATGTGTTGCGTCTCGCTCCTGAGAAGAAGGCATGAATGCCTTCAAAATCCGTCATGGATCACTTGTCGGCGACGACGAGTGATCGTTATAGAACACGATTGTTCGATTCGTCAAGGATCCATCACCTTGACCCCAGCGCGAAAAACTATCGCGCTGAACATGAATTCTTCATCGATGCTTTCTTCAAACATCGATGGTACAGTGGGAATCACAAACGTGATGGTCCCTCACTGCTTCAAGCGTGGAACGCCTACATTCATAACCTCGAGGATGTAGGTCGTGACGCTTGGAACGACAAACTTATCAAAGCTCGTGATAAGTTTGAAAAGCGAACCCCGACAGGTGCACGCTATAAGCTGCATCGTCTATCAAGGGAGAAAGGATTACCCTGCCTCTCTTGGGGAGACTCGTTCCCATGTTGTGTGAACAACTCTGCACGAGCACCTAAGAAGGCTTACCTCCCTAATAGCCCGTGGTGGCGCGTACGTATCTCTACTGAGATGTACGAAGGGATTGACAACCTGAAATCCCTTTACGACCGTGCCGGGAAGACTTTCTCCGGCGGTCCTTCTGCGGCACAGGATGTGCCGCGTCGTACTGCTCAACCAGACCCAGTACGTCAACCATCAGTTGGGAGCGGGGCTCCCAAGTATCCCAGGACGGGGGATAGCCGCGCCACCGGACGAGATAACTCGTCCGACATCCGTTCACGTCGCGGTGGTTCAACAGCTGCTCAACTAGATAGCGCTGGCTACCGAGAGAGTCCTCTAATGGAGGTGGAGGAGGAGGAAAGACGCTCTCCACACGATCATGTGGATCGGTGTGTTCTTGAGAGCTTCTTTGATCGCGTAAGGCAAGGGTTACGCGACGATATCAAACATGAGCGGAATAGGCGTCTCCAAATGGCGGACACTGCCTCGAAGCATCGAGCTGAGTTTGCCTTTGCTCAGCTTGAGAACGAGAGATCTCTGACATCTCTTCGTGACGAGCTAAGGGTAGCTCGTGGGATTGTTGATCGGTCTCGGGATGAGATAGCTGCTCTTCAGACCCTTGTCGATGCCCACCATCGGGAGCACAAGGCTCTCTGCGAGATGCTTGAGCGCAAGGGCGTTCTTCATCGGAAGAAGCAGCGTACTGGTGTTACGGCTTAAGCCGACCAACGTAAAACGTGGGATGCGTTCGCATCTTACGTGGTAACTCGATCGTGTATGCATTGCCTAGGCGGTGCAATACACGAAATGGGCCGATGTACTTGGGTAGTAGTTTACTGCTACCCAAGTTAGTCACTACATGCTTTGGTAGATTAACCGTAGACAGTAGGACTAAGTCACCTTTATTAAATAAAAGAGTGTTTGCCCTTCCATTCTTGTCAGCGTTTTGCTTTTGCTTATCCACCGCTTCGGCGATGGAGTCTTGCACAAAACGGACTACCGTTTCACGAGCCAGTATGAACTCATCTGCTGACTCGTTAGCTTCAGTGCGCTGTGAGCGCACTGCAGCAACATCAATCTTTTCTTCAGTGAAGGCTTCCGCACTCTCACTGGCATCATCTTCTTCGATATCGATGTTATCGATATCGGCATCAAACGCAATGACCTCTTTGTCAGAGCGTGATGAGCGTGAACCAATCCGGTTTTTGATCGCGCGAGTCCCTCCCCCCCTTAAACCAGAGTTACACTCTAGTAAGGTGGGTACTCGCGGATGGCGTAAGCCTTTCACGTAAAACGGTGTATGTGTCGTGGACGCATGCACCGAGTTGTTAATGGCAAACTCTACCATTGGCAAGAACGCACTCCAACTCTTGAAGGAGTGTACGTATCCTCGAAGTATCTCTTTGAGGACACGATTGGCACGTTCCGTCTGACCATCTGACTCTGGATGATCAGATGTCGACATCTTCAAGCGCGTACCGAGTGATTTGAACACGGACCGCCAGAAATCAGCAGTGAATCGTGGATCTCTGCCTGATACGAGCTCACGGGGCAACCCGTGAAGTCGGAAGATGGTGTCAATAAAGACACAAGCACAGCCACTTGCTGTGATTGACTCTGGTACAGCCACAAGGTGTACCATTTTGCTGAATCTGTCAGCAAAAACGAGAATACCCGTATTCCCGCGTGCGTCTTTGAATAACCCGAAGACAAAATCCATTGAGATGGATTCCCAGCACTCAGCCGGAACCGGTAGAGGCTGTAAAGGTGCACGCAGTGAAGGACTTGACTTCACTCGTTGACAGACTTCGCATGCGCGAATGTACTTGCGCACAAACTTATACTGGCGGGGCCAGTAAAAGTCTCGACTCACCGTGAGATATGTTTTCTCCCGGCCGCGATGTCCTCCTATAGGAGCATCGTGATACTCGAACATGATCCGCAAACGCAGATCAGTATCATCTGGAATGACAACACGTGGTGTGTCACCAGAAACGGCTGTATAATACAGTAACCCGTTGCGAGTAGTGTATCGATCTGATGCAGATCGATACGCAGACGACAATCGTTTCAACGATTCTCGAGATGGCTGTGATAGATGTGTCAACAACTTCACAATCTCACCATCTTGGGCATATGCCCGCCTCACATCATCATACAACGTTGTAGATGGGACTGAGGACGTCATTACCGCAACAGTGGCTGCCTCACTGTTGGGTTTCACGACTGGTTCAAAGTCGGGACGACGTGAGAGTGCATCAGCGACGACATTAAGTCGTCCTGGTTTGTACTCAACCGTAAAGTTGTATTCTGCAAAGAATGACAACCACCGCGCCATTCGTTGTGAAAGGTGCGGGCTGTTCACTGCCGTGCGTAATGACGCATGGTCGGTGTAAACAATGAAGGGTCTATCTCCTAATAGATAGACTCTGAACTTCGCGAGTGCACACTTCATGGCAAGGAGTTCCTTGTCATGCACTGGGTAGTTCCGCTCAGCTGGTTGCAGCTGACGCGACTGATAGCAGACGACGCGTTCAACGCCTTCAAGGTCGTACTGCATTAATGCACAGCCGATTGCGAAATCGCTGGCATCACAGACCACATGAAATGGCCTGTCCTGATCGGCAATTGCCAGTACTGGGGATTGTATCAAGCTCTTTTTGGTACCCTCAAAGGAGCGCTGACATTCAGCGTTCCATAACCACCTCTCGTTCTTTTTCAACAAACGAGAGAGGTGCACAGTCATCTCGGCGTAATTGCGTGAATACTTATGCAAATAAGCCGCTAGCCCAAGAAATTTTCGAAGACCTTTGACGTCGACTGGCACAGGCCAGTCGGTGATCGCCTTGATCTTTTCGGGATCAGGACGTACACCGTTCTTACCAACGATGCACCCAAGAAGTGGTATTTCGCTTGCTGCAAATATACACTTCTTGAGGTTTGCATACAATCGATGCTTTCGCATGATCGTAAGAACCTGTCGGACGTGGTTCCCGTGGACCTCAACGTCCGACTTTCCATCCATAGCTCGACTATGGATGAATACTTCATCGAAATAACTCGGCGCGAATTCTCGTACTGGTCTCAACAGATGTGATACACATCTGTTGAACGTGGCAGGGGCATTACTAAGCCCTTGTGGCATGACTAGCCATTCCCAGAGCATGCCGCTAGGCGTGCTAACTGCGGTATAGGGTATATCCCGTTCTCGCATAAGGATTTGATAGAAGCCATCCATCAAATCCATGGACGAAAAGATGGTACTCTTTGATATACCATCTATGATTACGTCCTTCCTCGGTATCGGCGTTTGTGTCGGTACCGTTGCAGCATTCAACTTGTTGAACGCGTGCACTATCCGCCACCCTCCTGTTGCTTTTCGCACACAGAAGGTCGGAGAGCTATGTGGGGAAGTTGATTCCCTCACATGGCCCGCAGCTAAACGATCGGCAAAGAACTTGTCGATCGCAAGTACTTGTTCACGAGGCAGTGGCCACTGCTTCATGACACAGTACTTCGAGCCTGGTTTAAGCTCGACCTCGTGTCGAATACCTTTATCCTTCGGTAATTCGCACGGAACAGTTTCAGGGAATACATCCTTGAATTCAACCAAATCTTCATATAGAGGATTTGTCTTGAGCGATTCCCACGATTGGGAGTCATATCGCTCAATTCGTGTCTTTTCATCTAGGACACTCTCGTCCATAGATGAACTACTGAGAACTCTCTCGTTCTCAGTAAACATTGTTGCTGACCTTATGTCGGTTACACACTCGTCGTCAGCGACGAGTACGCAGATCTGCTTGACTTTGCCACTACGCAGATCACGCAAGAACCTTTTATGTTCGAGCGTTGGCAACTGAGTGATCTCCGAAGTCAACTTCGTAGGCGCAATCAGATCAAGTGTATAAGCGCCTACACTTGATCCGTTATTGACTATGACATTTAATGTCTCTGTCATTTCCTGGGGACTTATTCCCTCAGGCTTCGAAGGACTTATTCCTTCGGCTTCCCGGGGACTTATTCCCTCGGGTTTTGGGGAACTTATTTCCGCCGTATTTGTATTATCGGGACTTATTCCCTTTACTTCCTCTAGCTGTGGTTGCGCAACCACAGCGAGATCCTCTACGAAAGACTCTCCAGTCGATCTAGGATTATCGTTTCGCTTAACCTGAGCGATCGATTGTTTCTCTTCTAGATGTTCCCCGCTAGGGATACATCTTTGTCCCGGTCCACTCGACTTATTCGAGTGGTGGACCTTCGGCGCAGCCTGTGTTTCCTCACAGCCGCCGGAACTTTGCTCCGAAGTGTAACCGTTTATTACACTAAGGTTTTGTGCAGTCGTACTAACGACCGTACCACAAGTGAGGCCATCGCACTCACTCGTAGTACATCCACACGCTTGTGGACGCTCCAAAACGTTCATCAGATGGCCATCTGATGAACAAGCGGCAGTTATCGTTACTGTTCGATGTTGCCAGTTTACCCGTGGTTCGTACCTTCTGAGCCACGGTATTCCAAGGATGACATCAAATTTGTCATCCAAATCCAATACGATAAAGTCATCGTCATATTGGTTATCTTCTAGCGTATAGTGGATATTCACTATACGCTTCATGACGGTTACGGATGCGCCTGTCGCAAGACGTACCGTCATCCTCGTAGGAGGTGTGTCACATTCACTGAACTCGAAGTGACCATCTTCTAGCGATTGGCGTCGCACAAAATTGTTGGACGCCCCACAATCGACTAGAGCTCTAAGGGACAACTTATTTGTCACTTCGAGTTTCAAGGTAATGAGTGAGATCTCATTACCTAGAGCAGCAACGCACAACGTTTTTGCGTTGGGAGCAACCTTCATCAAGAGGCCTACAAATTCTCTTGACGTTGCTGGATCAGTAGGGTGCTCCGCACCTACTGATCCTGTCCGTTTTTTGACGGTCCATCCCGTTGTTGCGTCTTCGCACCAACAGCGGACCCGCGTCCCTGCCCCTTTCTCATGGGTGGACGGTCACTACGCCCAGTGTTGCGAGACACTGGACGAGGGGCACTACACTCATAAGCGTAGTGTCCTGTCTTCTGACATCTGTTGCATTTCTGCAACTTCTTGTAGTCTGTAGAGCGAGCCTTCTCGCTCTCTACATAACAGAGTACCATCGGCTCTGGACCTCCGTTGTCATATCGTCTCAGTTGACGATATGATGTCGAGCTGGCGCGAGCCTGTCTCAGACTGAAGTCTTCCTGTTCCGCAATGGAAATGGCTTGTTCTAGTGAATCTAGTTCGAGTCGGAACAGGTGAGTCTTGACGGGACCATCCGCAAGACCCTGCATGAACACCGAAACCAACGTGTGTTCATCCACCGGGTTGGAACTTATACAACTCGTGAGATGTCGTAAATGTTGCGCGTAAGCGTGCACATCACGCTTACCCTGATTGAGCTTCAAGAGTTCGGTTCGAGCTCTGAACTCAGCTCTAGGCGGTTCAAACGTTTGTATGAGCCGCGACTTGAAGACTTCTAACTACCCAAACGCATATGGGTCGTGTAACTTGAGCCCCAGTGCCCAAGTCTTGGCACGTCCTGCCAGATTTGACTGGGCAAATGCAACTTGCATATCCCCGTCGTCGATGCGACGCGCCCTTATGGCGTCATCCAATTCGACGAACCATCTCAAGAGGGAGTCCTCTTCGACTCCCCTATACTTGGAGATGTCAATCTTCAAGGTCTCGGATCGACGCAAGTGCATCGACCCACCAGCAGCAGCCTGCTGCTGTCTCAACAGTTCAAACTGTTGAGCACCCTGTTCTCTCAACAACTCTGCTTGTTGAGAACCTTGTTGGTGAAGCAAGGCTACTTTCTCGCGTTCAGCGTCAAGTTCATTTTGAATGAACTTGGCGATAGTAGCATGTTGGGCATCTCTATTGAGAGCCTCTAGCATGACGCTAACAGCATGGATGCCCATGGTCGAACCCATTCGTTCAACCGCATCCCATTCGACATCGCTCAAATGGGAGTAGCCGTCACGCGTAGCGTGAAAGCTTTGGTCATCTTCATCATCCAACATATTCATGTTGGATGTGAACGCGGTCCTTGGACGGACTACGAAGTGCTACCAGGTGTAACGGGGCACCCTGTAGCTTGTACTGATGACAGTACAAGCTACTTATTCTGATGACAGAATAAGGCGGTGCCTCGTGACTTCACGTACACTCGTACGTGCAGAGGAAGACGATAAGAAGAAGCGAGTACTTGGTTAAAGTAACAAGTAGAACTGTATTTATAATAGTTAATGTCTGCAATAAATCACTATTTATCTTCATCTAACTATGTCTAAATACAAATGTGTAAATCAGTTATCTGCTCACCACTCATTGCGTGCGTCTGTCGTGGCGCGTCTTCGTTGGTTGATATAATGGCCTATATCAACCAATTAGAAACTACTCGTAAGTGCTACAGAATATTTGTCCTTATGATAATATTCTGAGAATATAACTGTTATAGTTATATTCTATTAACAATTTCTTATAAATTGTTATGTAACGATTCACCCCGTTACATTCTTTCCCCAATGGATCGCGCTCTTCCGCATTTGACTTCTTAGTCTTCTGCTGATGCATGGAAATTGAGCTTTTCTACGCTACGTCAAGCGAGCAGGAAGTTGCACCAGCCAGTGGTGTTTGCTGAAGGAATCAGTGGTCTCGTTGACGTCGGTTGTGTCCTTTGGACCGCATTATAGACTATAAACACTTGATCTAAAATGTCATATTTTGTAAATTTAGGGCTGTGGAACATAAGGGTATGGTACGGATAACGGCTCCCTCCATATACTGACAAAAAAATCGGCCAGAAATATCGTGGCGCACTCACCCTTTTCCTCCCAGTGTGCGAACAAACAAAGCATTTCTATCATGTGGGAGAAAGCGACATTTTTGACGGTGTTTAGTAAATGTTCGTCAATAATGGTGCAGAAAACATGTGGAATAATTATATACATGCCGTTGAAAGTATAGTGTACGTCGTTTTCGAGCAAATCTCATTATCAGGACCACAAATGTCCAAAAGTCCCAAAACCAGGACTATAGTTTAATCAAGTCTAAAATTGATAGATACTTAATGTTAGCCACATTATACTCAACTGCAACATGGGATAAGAAACTGCCTGATCACTAATGAGTCTATCCAATTTTTAGACAACTGTCGCGAGTGGTCAAAAATCGCTCTATTTTATCAACGGTTCGTTCACTTCTCAATTTGCGCCCACGAGCCGATGTGCCCATTTCGGTTTGGGCACATTGCGTGCGAGCCAGGCCCGGTCGCACGCACCCGACGAGCTCGTGACCGGGGGACTCCGTTATTGCACCTTGCACTGTCGATTTTGATTAAATCAGTAATTCTTTATGTACGCGGTTGCAGCAACTGGCGTTGCTGCAACCGCGTACATATAGGTCAGGGCAGTAGTACCGTGATTAGTGTCAATTTCGATTGCTGCAGTCACTCGAGACATCTCAAAAACTTCTTTCAGTCCACTTCTTGCGCTTATGGTTAAACGCTCAAACTAACCATTCAAAATGAGTCCAGTACTAATTTATGAATAAACATAACGCATGTATTCCACTCGTCTGTATATTACGCCCTAGTCAGTCAAACAAACTCCTCGCACTGCAACATATCCACACGGACATAGCACACAATCGTTAAGCAGGTCACTCGACACCACTTGAAACCACACGACATCACTCGTCACATCTTAATACCACTCGAAATCACTCGGCATCACTTGAAACGCACTGAAACACATACATACAGACAAAGCATACGATCGTTAGACAGCACAGCCGAAATCGACAGCATAATTACCTGCTACCGCTGCTCATGAGAGTTACTACAACAACGAAGTTTACCAGTCGCGAGCTCGTCAGTTGTGTGCGACCGGGCCTCGGCATGCACGCAACGTGCCCAACCCAAAATGGGCACATCGGCTCGTGGGCGCAAATTGAGCACTGAACGAACCGTTGGTAAAATAGAGCGATTTTTGACCACTCGCGACCGTTGTCTATAAAATGGAAAGACGCATTAGTAATCTGGCAGTCTCTTATCTCATGTTGTAGGTAAGTATAATGTGGCTAGCACTATACTAGTTTGCATTCTCAACCCAAGTATAAAAATAGATAAATTCAGACTTGATTAAACTATAGTCCTGGTTTTGGGAGTTTTGGACATTTGTGGTCCTGGTAATGAGATTTGCTCGTCGTTTTCATTGGCACGTCAAATACAGGATAAGTCATTTCTAATGGCCGCATCGGTGTCGACTGGCCGACCGTGATAGGTTCACAAGCTTAGCGGATCAGAAATTTGGTCATCCAGACTCACTCTGTCAATTCCAACCAACCACTGGCAGATCTCAAGTAGATGACAACCTCCAGCAATGTGAACGCCACGCTGCTGCTCGTGACGGGGCTGCTTAGCGCGGGTGTGGCCGCAATGGGCTACTATTTCTTGCACATAAATAGCAAGAAGCAACGGGGCCTTTCCACGGACAGCAGCAAGGCTCGCGTGTCTGACGGTGGAAGGGCGTCGACCACTCGAAAAGAGAAGAGCGATGGGACCGAAGCTTCAGTAGCGGACGGCAGAGCCACGATTGGCTTTGGTGAAAGGAAGAAGGAATCTGTTGCGTGTGAGAAGACTGCGGTTGTTGAAGCGTTTGAGGTTGCACCTGCTGGACAAGCGAAGGCGGCGGAGCCCGTTGTGGTGGAAGCTGTCCAGTCGATGGATGTGGAAGATCCTTCTGTCAGTGCTGATGTATTGCAGGAGGTCATTTCAGTTTCCATAGATGCTTTGCGGAGCAGTCCAAGGAAGACTGCTGAGAGTCCAGCGATGGTGGAGAAGCCGGTGGTTCTTGAACTTTCGAAGCCGTCGAACGAGAGCCCAAGTATGGCGCTTGAGGGTCTGAAGAAAGTTGCTGTAATTCAAAGGAAGATTACAGAGAGCTCTGAGGAGGTTGTTGTCAGTCTTGAGAAAGCTGTTAACAGCACGAGGACATATGCGGACGCGACTGAGGTCGTCGCAGATGAGCTGGTAAAGCAAGCCCCTGTCAGCCCGGTGAAAGCCCTAATGAGTCCCAAGAAGAGTCCTAACGAGGTGTCAAAGGAAACATCTGCTCCTGATTCTATTACAACGGAGTCGGATGAGGACCACATCGTTGCTCAAGCAGTCATCGAAACTGCAAGTGCATTTACCGATGAGTTTCTCCAGGAGTCTCTTGAGAACACCGCACTGGAGCATGAAGAGTACGTCCAGGTGGACTTGACGCGCTCGATGATGCTGTCGCAGAGCACCTCGGAGGTATCTCACATCGACAATGTAGTTGAGACCACGCCTGAGGCTTTTTCCATCGAAGGTCCAGCAGCGAAAACAGAGGAGACTGTCCCTGCGGGCGAAGAAGGTGTTGTCAAGGAGAGCATTGTGGAGGAGAGCATTGTGGAGGAGAGCATTGTGGAGGAGAGCATTGTGGAGGAGAGCATTGTGGAGGAGAGCATTGTGGAGGAGACCATTGTGGAGGAGAGCGCTGTTGAGAAATGCAATGTAGAAGAAAATACTGTCGTGGAGAGCATTGTTGAAGAGAAACGTGAGCAAGTTTCACTGGAATCACATACCTCGGCAGGAGTTGAACCTGTCAATGACGTGACTGCAGCTGTAGAGACATCGGCGCCGCCACCAGGAAGCCCCGATGGGACGCCACTGTCATGGGAATCTATTGTATTTAGCCCAGAACTACAGGCAGAATCTACTGAAGAAACCATAACTCCGTTGTCACTGGACACGGAGGCACTGGATACTCCGGCAGAAAGCATTGACTCCACGGAGTCTCTTTCCATTCAAGTTCCGGCTGAAAACACTGAGGCGCATGCTGAAGACAAAGACGCGAGCTCTCCCATGGACAGTGGTGGCTCGACGCCCAACACGCGCAACCGCAACCGGGCAAAGAAGGCCAAGAGCAAAAAGAAGAAAAGCAAGAAGCACCACTAGTTCAAAGCGTGATCGGAACGCTTGTAGTAGCGCGAGCCACTTGATCTTGTTCGATCTGCGTCGGCGCAGTTGGGATTGCTTGGAGTGTATGTAAATAGCAGTGAATTATGCTCCACCAGCATGTCTTCTCGTAGTTCCACACACCTATTCAGTGACAGCGAAGTTAGTACATGCACGTGTACACACTTCCCTACCAAGGACTGATCATTACCTCACACGTAGAGCTCAGTAGACAACTTGAGACCCAGGAACTTGCGTACGCGGTCGTCATTTGCGACTCCGGGGATCTGCAGCATCTGATGCAGGAAATCCTGCAGCAGCTCTTTGCGTCTGGCCAGGAAGTCCGGGTTTAGATCCCGACAGCAGAACGTCTTGGGGGGCAGCTTCGGCAGTCGGTTGCCTGCTATGAAGCGCACACTGACATGAATGCACCACGTCAGCTTTTACTCCCCACTTTCTCAGGTACGACCCTTTTTTGCATCGACTCACTTCGCCTGAAGCCTGTCGAACTCGCTAAAGCGACGCAACACCTTCCAAATGCGTCTGCCATTCTGGATCTCTAGCTCGTACAGTGCAAACTCGTCCTCTTTCACCACAGACTTGACGATAGCGACCGTAAAGTAGTCGGATCCTACCCGCAAATCGAGTGCGTTTTAATGTTCATGATTGTACAATTAGAGCTGGCGGCCAGTGTAAAGCAGCAGGCAGGGGTACGTACCGTAACGCAGTGACCACGTCTCCTCCGGTAGATACACGAGCGACATGACTGAATCGTATCTTATCTGACTCGAACCCGTTTTTGTCACGTTCGGTTTCTTCCTTCTGATTCGTCCGAACTTGCCAACGCAGTTCAGATGTTGCTCGTTTCAGCCAATCGCTAGTCGTCCTGTGACAGTGCGTGATAGCGTCAAGTGACCGAGCAGCGAAGAAGCTTTGTTCTTCTCTGTGTGGAGCTCGTTATGGAGGTCTACGTGCGTCTTCGCAATGCGAAAAATGACTACGAATGGACACGCGGTCGTGTGCTACGTCGTGTGCAAAACTCTGCTTCCCACGTGCTTGTACAGCTTCACAATAGCGAAGAAACCGTCGAGGTTGATGAAGTTGGAGACGTGCGCATGACGAATGAGTTGGCGGCTGGTCAGACGTTGGCAGACGTAAAGGATCTGGATGCACTCACGCATCTGCATGAGCCTGCAATTGTGGATTATCTGGCGCAGCGGTATAGTGTGGACCAAGTGTATTGCAGGTCCGGTGCGGTGCTCATTGCTGTGAATCCATTTAAGGACATATCAGGGCTCTACAACTTGTACAAGTTCCGTAAAGAGATGTCCAGTTGGACTTCACTGCCTCCTCACGTGTTTTCGATTGCTGAGGGGGCATATCGGTCGTTACAACGACGATTGCAGGAGTCTGGAGCGAAGATGAAGGATCAGACGATCTTGGTGAGCGGAGAAAGTGGCGCAGGAAAGACCGAGACGACAAAGTTCATCATGAACTATCTGGCAGAAAGCAGTCAAGATACGGACACTATAAGTATCAGCGTGAAGAAACAGGCGATTGGCAGCAGTGAACTAATGAGCGCGAACCCCATTCTAGAGTCTTTTGGCAACGCCAGAACCTTGCGTAACGACAACAGCAGTCGATTTGGAAAGTTTTTGCGCATGTTCTTTGACTCAAAGATGAAAGGACATGCAGTGGATACATCGCTGACCATGGTGGGCACATCGGTAGAGACGTATCTACTGGAAAAAGTCCGTGTGGTGCATCAGACCAATGGAGAGCGTAATTTTCATGTGTTTTATGAGCTTCTCGCCGGTGCAGATGACAAACTGAAGAGTCAGTTGCATCTTGAAAACATGTCAGCGCATGATTTCCAGTACACAAATGAAGGAGGATGTTCCCGGAGAAATGATGGCGTACGTGATGATAAACAATTTCAGCTGACGATGCAGTCGATGAAAATTTTGGGTTTTACCGATGTCGAGCAAGAGGCAATTTGGAAAATTTTGAGCGCACTGCTGCATCTCGGTAACGTCTCGTTCGTTCCTTCGAGCGAAGATGAAGCGAATGGAACGGCGTCAGCACCTTGTCGGCTTGCATGCCGCTCGCCATCTTCGCTTGCAGTTCAGGAGCACTTTGATGTCGTATCAAAACTCTTCGCCGTGGATCAGGAGGAACTGGTGTCAGCACTGACGACACGAAAAATTAGTGTTGGTGATGAAACGTTTCATGCGAACTTGAGTCTCGCGCAGTGTGGAGATGCCCGTGACGCGATGGCTCGCTCACTGTATGCTTTTTTGTTTCAGTTTCTTGTCGCCAAAATAAACTCGGCTTCACCACAAGTCGATCAGGCTACAACTACTGCGAGCAAGGACGCTACAACAGCAATACCGTGCATTGCAGTCCTGGATATATTCGGCTTTGAAGAATTCGAAGTGAACCAGTTCGAACAGTTTTGCATCAATTACGCAAACGAAAAGCTGCAGTATCAGTTCATCCAAGACATCCTTCTGACTGAGCAACAAGCCCATATCGAGGAGGGTATTAGGTGGAAAGCTGTCGACTACGAAGACAATTTAGTATGCCTTGAGATGATCGAGCAACGTCCAAGTGGCATTTTCTCAGTCCTGGACGAGGAATGTGTTGTTCCGAAGGGTAGTGATGGAGGCTTCGCTCGGAAGTTGTATCAGCGACTGCAGGATAACTGCAGCTTTAGCGCTTCTCGTTCCGAGCAGGCCGAGTTTACATTTCAAGTACATCACTACGCAGGCAACGTTCGATACCAAGCAGAAGGTTTTTGCGAGAGAAATAAGGATCAGCCCAATGCAGAGCTGTTCAGCGTTTTGGAAAAATCAAGTGACGCGCATTTGTGCGAGCTCTTTAGCTTTTTTGAGGTCAGTGAATCAGCACGACTTCAGCTTGGTCGGCCCAAGTTGAGGCGGAGATCTTCAGCTCTTAGCTCAGCAGGCATCGGATCCCAGTTTAAGCAGCAGTTGGCAAGTTTGCTGGACGTCGTTCAGCAGACTCAGACACACTATATTCGCTGCATTAAACCAAACGACGCGAGTGCGAGTGACATGTTTGACATGGCAAAGGTGTCAAGTCAATTGCGTTACGGTGGTGTATTGAAAGCGGTGGAAATCATGCGTCAATCTTTTCCCGTGCGTCTAAGTCATGCAGACTTCATAAAACGCTATCAACTCCTGGTGTCGACAAGGCAGTGTAAATATTACAAGGTTGCCTCAAAATGGACCGCTTCGGATTTATTGACAGTCTTGAAGATCGATCAAGCTGAGCTTGGCAGATCTCGCGTATTTCTACGACAGCACGCCTTTGATCAATTGGAACAAGAACGCGAGCGTGTTGTTGGAACGTTAGCAACGAAGTTACAAAGTTCATGGCGTAGCGTACAGCAGCGCCGAGTATACATCAGACAAGCGCATGCTTTGCGCATCATTCAAGTTCGATGGAGGTCAACTTTGAAAAAGAAGCGCTGCACTGCTCGACGCAATAAATCAGCAACAGTGCTTCAGCGTGCTGTGCGCGTCTGGCTGAGCTGGATCAAAAGTTGTCGATCACAGAGCGCATTGCTTATTCAGCGGAGTTTTTTACGATGGTACAGAGCACGGATTGCGTCATTGAAATATGCTGCATCTCCTGAGACTTTTGCCAAAGCATTGGTGGACCCGTGTGGCTATAATGGTCGCGACAGTGAGCGCACAATCGAAACGTTGGAAGAAGACGACGTTCTATCGATAGCAACTGATTCAGCTGGAACAAGTGCGTACTCGGAGGATGTTGATTTTTTGTCAATGGGTGCGTTACCGAGAGCAAGTATTCGTGGCAGCGCGCAAGACTTTGGAGATGGAACTGGTAGAGAGAATGCTATGCTGAGAAAAGCCTTGAGCGAGGTCGAAAGGCTTCGTCGCAGAGCTGAAGTTGCAGAAGCTGCGTTGTCGCATTTTGCACGACGGGATGTCGATCCCTCCTCCATTGACTCTATGTCTATAGTTGCGACTAGAGCTACAGCGCGCGCAGACGAGTCAGTTAGTTTCCTGCAGTACGGGCGTCCTACAAGCGATCGCGACAACTATTTGTGGTCCCAACCAAACATGTCGAATTTCAGGACAGATCGATACGGTAACACAGTACTGCACCAGGCTGTGGAGGGAGGCAAGGTGGAGCTCGCGTGTGCTCTTCTTGTCAACGAAGCAAGTGGGGCGCTTGACATGTTGCAACAAGCTGAAACACAACGTGGTTTTGCGCCGTTGCATCTTGCTGTTCGCGGTGGTAACATCGAAATTGCGAGTCTCTTTTTTCGTCCTGAGGTGTTACCCAACCTCGACTTGAATTTCAGAGATCGTGAAGGAAACACGGCACTACACTTGGCCACGCAGCTTGAGATAAAATTTGCGTCGCGCATCCTGGAGCTATTGCTATGCTTTGGTGCTGATGCAAATGCAGCAAACTTTTTGAAACAAACACCCCTGCATCTCTGTGCAATGGTCAAGCGTAGTGGCTCTGCAACGCGTGAGCTTATGGAGACGCTATTGCGACACAAAGCGGATCCGCAGAAGGTCGATTTCCTAAAGCGTTCACCGTTGCACTATTGCATGGAGAAAGGTTAGTGCGAGCGTGATGTCCACGCATGCTCATGCGGTGGTATATTGTGCTTTATCTTGACAATGTGCTTCCGTTCTGTGTGTGTACTCTGCAGGAATGGAGGATGAAGCGGTATTGCTGATGAAGCACGGAGCGGACATGAACGCACCCGATGCAGACGGCGAGCGCGTCATAACGAATCCAAAAGCTACTGGTGTAAGTGCTTGTTTTCGATGCTACGTTGGCGTGCGAATCGAACTGCTGACCCGTTGGTACTGCTGTTCAGCTCTTGCGATTTCTACGCGTGACGCCGTCGTGGATTCCAGACACCGACATCAGCGCGTGTATGGTTTGTCTCGAGCCGTTTCCCTTCTTTTTCTCACGCAAGTGCCACTGCGACCGCTGTGGACGTGTGTGCTGCTCGGACTGCGCACCCTCCAGCTCGTCCTGGAGCGGCCGCTTCTGTTTTGACTGCAAACACTACGCCCACTACTCTTGAAGAAGTACCGATCGCTTTTGATGGCTACACAAGGCGCCGGTTGGACTATTTTATTCGTCTTGGGAGAAAAGCGCACGACGTGTACAATTACGTGCATCTGATTACTGACGAGCGGGGTAGAATTTAAAGGAAGTGATCGATTCTAGATGAAGTTGGCAAAATGCAAAGTGAATATATTTAGGTCCTTAGTTCACAAACTCCTATTGCTAGTCTAAGCCTACTGAATTCTTTCTGCCTATACATTAGTAATCGCCACATTGCGCATTACTACTGGTATAGAGCAGATTAGTAATCGCCACATCGCGCATTACTAATCGTCTAGTCGCACATTACTAAATCTAGGCGGTGTGTTTCTAACAAACACCTAAACTTACTAAATGTGGGGGACGTCACTGTCTGGCAGGAGAGTGCTGGTGAACCCCGGCACACCAGTACCCGAAGGTATTAACTTTTATTGCAGTCACTGGATATCGAACCAGTGACCTCTCGTATGGTGCTGCCATACCATACCACATGAGCTACGTGTATCTTACAAAATCAGCCTGCCGAGGCGTTTGTTTTGCAACAGAATTTACAAAGCTCGCTCGCATTGGATGAAGTGATCGTCGAGCTTATTTATGGCTACACGTGACTCCAGTAAGAACATTAAAGTACTCAATTTTGGTCCCGCCTCAGATTTTGTGAAGGGGGAAAGATTTCATTACATTTAGCCACTCAGAAGTGCCACAGGAAAGCTGAAGCGATCCGCGCCCCCCAACAGACGCGGCCAGGGCCACAACGAATCCCTGAGCAGCAAACGACGCAAGACGGACGACGTCATGGAAACCACGCAGCAGCTGGAAGACGATGCCGGCTTCATGGACAAGTACAGCCGCCAAATCGGCGCGTTTGGACTCGAGACGATGGCCAAGGTCTGCGCCGATCAGAAGCAAACAAAATTGACAACAGAGTGATGGTTAATTCGACTAATTCCGATTTCCTTTTGTGCCATTGCGTAGTTGGTGAAGCTCAGGGTTCTCGTCGTGGGGCTGCGGGGAGTGGGCATCGAGTGCGCCAAGAACTTGATCCTCGCTGGCCCCAGCGCCATCACGCTGCATGACGATGGCACGGCTGAGATGAAGGACCTGGGCACCAACTTTTTCCTGACGGAGCAGGACGTGGGTTATCCACGCGCCTTCGCCGTCTTGCACAAGCTGGCGGAGCTCAACAAGATGGTGGCGGTGGCCGTGCACAAGGGCGGGCTGACGGAGCGCGTGGTGGCCACGCACAATGTGGTGGTCTTTTCGCACACGAGTCGCCAGGAGCTGGTGCGCTGGAACCACTTCTGTCGACGGCAGTCGCCGCCCATTGGATTCATCGCGTGTGACGTTCGTGGCGCCTTTGGCTACGCATTCACGGACTTTGGCGACGAGTTTAAGAGCTTCGACGCCACGGGCGAAGCGCCGATTACTCGGATTATCACGGACATTACGACTGACGTGGATGGAGTGCTGTCCATTTTGGGCCATGATGAAGACGGCAAGATGCACGAGATGCCCGACTCGGACCACGACGGGTGGATTGATATTCGTGACGTGCAGGGGATGAGGCTACAGAGCGACTTAAGCCAGTCCATCAACACGATGGGTCCGCGTCGGGTCAAGTTTGCTAATAAGAAAGTGTTGCGCGATGGTAAACAGGCGGAAGTCTTTGATGCGTACCGACTTAAGATCGGTGATACTTCAGAATTTACGCCGTATGAAGGTGGAGGTGTGTTCACTCAGCATAAGAAGCCGTTTACATTGAATTTCAAATCGCTGGAAGAATCCCTGGTCTCTCCAGTGCCCGCGGGCGAGTTTGGCCTCGCATTCACGGATGGGGCCAAGTTTGGACGTGCGGAGCAGCTACACGTTATCATGTGGAGCCTCATGGAATTCGAAGCGCGTCACGGTCATTACCCCAAGCCACACAATGACACGGATGCGGATGAAGTTGTTGCAATTGCTAAGATGGGTATCCAGCACCTTTCCGACTATACACACGAAGGTGCGCATGAGCAGGAAGTGATGCGGCTTGAGGAGCTAGACGAAAAGTTGGTGCGACAGGCTGCTTTCTACTCTGCTATTGAACTGCACCCTCTGGCCGCTTTCTACGGTGGCGTGGTCGCTCAGGAAATTGTCAAATTTACCGGCAAATTTACCCCGTTAAAGCAATGGTTGCATTTGGATGCGTTTGAGGTGCTACCTGATGAACGACCTACCGATGCAGACCCAATTGGTTCGCGCTACGACCACGTTATTGCAGCCTTTGGTTTGTCAGTCCAACAAAAGCTTGGAAACGTTCGTACATTCCTGGTGGGGTGCGGTGCGCTTGGATGTGAGTACCTGAAGAACTTTGCCATGATTGGTATTGCATGCGGCGGAAATGGACTTGTAACTGTCACGGACAACGACCGCATCGAGGTGAGCAACCTGAATCGTCAATTTCTCTTCCGAGAGCACAACGTGGGCCAGCCTAAGTCCGTAGCTGCTACCGCTGCAGTTCGTCAGATGAACGCGGATCTGAATGTGAAAACTCTTGAGCACTTGGTGGCCCCGCATACGGAAAACGTTTTCGATGATGACTTTTGGACTGGCCTGGACATAGTCACGAATGCTCTGGACAATGTGACAGCACGTTTGTATGTGGATAGCAAGTGTGTATTTCACAAGTTGCCACTATTGGAAAGCGGGACACTCGGTACGAAGTGTAATGTGCAGGTGGTTATCCCGTACAAAACACAGAGCTACGCAGATGGTCCGAAAGATGCTGAAGGTGACGGCATCCCGATGTGTACACTGCGGAATTTTCCATCGCTTATCGAACACTGCATCGAGTGGTCGCGCGCACAGTTCGAAGACCTGTTTGTTGTACCGTCCGCAGAAGCGAAGAAATTCGTAGAGGATCGCGCGGCCTATTTGAGTCAAGTTGAGAAGGCGACGCTCGAAAACCCGAATGCAAAACTCGTTCCAGCAGCTATCGTGCAGGAGCTCGAACGTCTCCGTGACCTACGTGCTACCTTGCAAACAGCAAAGGATGTCACATTCGAGAAGTGTATCGAGCTGGCGTTCAAGCTGATGACCTCGCGCTTCCGTGACCGTATCCTGCAGCTTATTCACAATTTCCCAGAAGATCATTTGACTAACTCTGGAGAGAAGTTTTGGTCAGGGGCGAAGCGCTTTCCTCAAGCAGTGGGGGATTTCGATCCAGAAAATCCGCTGCACCTCAACTTCGTGCGCGCGACTGCGAACATTTTGGCTGTCTGCTACGGCATCCAGCCGCCTTTTGAGCAAGAGTTGGTTCCTGCTGATTCTGAGTGGCGTGACCCGTCCACGTTTGCGGCGTTTGGCAGCAAATACGTCCCGCCGACGTGGAAGCCGTCAAACGAAAAGATTGCCGCTGACTCGGATGAAATCAAGCGGTTGAAGCTGGAGAAAATCAAGAACTCAAATGATTCCGATAAGAATGAGCTCATCGAGTTGATTAATGAGCTCAGAGCGCTTGACCTTTCGGGTTTATCATTCGAGCCGGCAGATTTTGAGAAGGATCAGGATATGAACTTCCACATTGATTTCGTCTACGCGGCGTCCAACTTGCGGGCCTTCAACTACCGCATCCGCGATGCATCGCGTCATAAGTGCAAGATGATTGCTGGCAAAATTATTCCAGCTATTGCTACCACGACAGCGTCTGTGACCGGCCTGGCCATGCTCGAGATGCTGAAGCTCATTCAGCGCAAGGAGCTGGAGGCTTTTAAGGATTCATCCAACTCGCTAGGTCTGAATATGTATCTGATGCAGGAACCAGCGGCCCCTGCTCATGCGAAGGATGAGTACGACGTAGTGGAGATGTCGGAAGTCAAGTGCAAGCCTCCTGGATTCACGAAGTGGGACTCTACTGTCATCGAGTTGACGCCTGGCTCGACGCTCGAAGATTTTCTTTCTCAGTTCAAGGAGAAGACAGGACTCAAGTGCGACTTGCTGTTCCACAGCGTTGCGGAAATGGGCAACACGGGTGCTGCGGACAAGGATCCGCGCTACCATGCTGTCAGCGGCTTAATGCTTTACGACCGCAACGCCTACGGCAAGGCATTACAAGATCTATACGCCAGCCAGATGACGAAGCCTTTGCGTGCCTTCGTGGAATCGCGTTACGAAGGGCTCGTGGATTGCAGCCGCAAGTACATTGAGCTGCAGACGTCGTGCACCGATGACGACGACAACGTGTACAAGGTGCCGACAGTCATTTGCAAGTTCGGTTAAGCAAGAGTCAAGCAGACAAGGCTGCGGAGCGACTGTCGACAAGGGCTGTATCTGTAAATTCCAGTGTCGCTTACCTGTGAACAGACAATAAAATGGTGCTGGCGCCACATGTTCTTCCGCCTCGCAAAGGACAACGTCTTTTGTCATGTTTGTATTTGTACAAGTGCTAAAACCGTGCAGAAGGTTTTCGCAACTCGATGAAACTTGTCAAAACTGTTTGTGACGGTTTAAGCGCTTTTACTCAGGGCTCCAGCCGCTTTCTCATTCGTCGATTTGCTCTGCCACCAATATGGACGACATCGAGGACATGATCAGCGAGGACGAGTTCGACCGCGTCGCCGTCACGTCCGTGCGCCCGCCCATGGTAGCGCCCAAGCCTTTCTTCGAACCGACAGCGACCGACAGCACATTCAGCAGCAGCAACTCTGACGCTGGCGTCAAGGAGGAACCCAGCAGTGTCCCTGGTACGCAGCTCATCTGGGTCAAGACTTACGGCTGTTCGCACAACGTGAGCGACTCCGAGTACATGCAGGGCGTGCTGTCGAGCTACGGCTATCGATTCACTCAGGATCCGGACGCGGCGCAGCTCTGGCTGCTCAACAGCTGCACCGTCAAAGACCCATCGCAGGCCGCCTTCATGCACTTGGCTGTCAAAGGCCGCAAGCAGAACAAGGCCGTGGTCGTGGCTGGCTGTGTGCCACAAGCTGATAGACATTTGAAGGGCCTGGAGGACGTCAGTATTGTGGGCATCCAGCAAGTAGATCGAGTCGTGGAGGTCGTCGAGGAGACGCTTAAAGGGCACACCGTGAGATTGTTGTCCAAGAACCGGCTGCCTCAATTGGATTTACCTAAAATCCGCAAGAATCCAATGGTGGAGATTATTCCACTGAGCACGGGCTGCTTGGGAGCGTGCACGTACTGCAAGACACGCCATGCACGTGGTAAATTAGGGAGTTACACGGTCGAAGCGATTGTTTCGAGAGCACAGTCGGTAATTAAGGAAGGAGTGACAGAGATCTGGCTGTCCAGTGAAGATACAGGAGCGTACGGGATCGATCTTGGCACTGATCTGCCTACGCTTCTGCGCAAGTTGCTGGAAGTCGTGCCTGAAGGTGTTATGCTCCGTGTGGGTATGACCAACCCGCCGTATATTCTGGACCATCTCGACGCTATCGCTGAAGTCTTGCAGCACGACCGAGTCTACTCATTCTTGCATGTGCCGGTGCAATCTGGCAGTGATGATGTGCTACTGGCCATGAACCGCGAGTACACGGCTGGTGAGTTCCGTCGCGTCGCTGACGAACTGCTTGCGAAAGTCCCGGATCTCACGCTGGCGACCGACATCATCTGCGGCTTCCCTACGGAGACCGAGGAGCATTTTGACGAGACGATGGAGCTTGTCGAGAAGTACCGTTTCCACATAATGAACATTTCACAGTTCTATCCTCGACCAGGGACACCGGCAGCCAAGATGAAACGCGTTCCGACACAAGTGGTAAAGAACCGCAGTCGCAAGCTTACCAAGCTTTTTGAGACGTTTGAGCCGTACACGCATCTTGTGAACACGACACAAAAGGTATGGGTGAACACGGAGGTTTCAGATGACAAGAAGTACACGGTTGCCCACACGAAAAATTACACAAAGGTTCTGCTTCCTCGTGACGATGCTCTGATTGGGTGTGCGGCAGAGGTACGCGTCCTCACCGCCGCACGATTCCACATTACGGGTGAGGTGATCTCACATTCCCAGCCCGCCACTATAGCGGCAGCTACCATACGCGAACAGATTCGAGCTGGGGATGATCTAGAGGTGGTGGAACGATCGAAAGCTTTACCGACGGCGAAGTTTACAGCTGTCTCCTCTTACAATGGTGATGACCATAGTCAGGATCACTATGACCACGGTGGTGATGATCGCCATCGTAGTGAAGAAGAATGCTGTGGTGGCGACGAAGTATGTTGCTCTTCTGCAGGGGGCGACAAAAGCAGTGACAGCAAGTCCAGCACGAAGTCAGAGATGAAGTCGATGGTAAAGGAGCTCATGGGGAAGACGAAGTATGCATACTCAGGCGCAGCTGATGGCATGGTATCTTCAATCGCGACAGCACTGGTAACGAAGTGGGATCAAGTGTGCGACGATAAGATAGCGCTTGCGTCCCTCGTGACGCTGGTGGCGTCGGCATCTTTTGTAGTAAGTCGTGTGCTTACGCGCAAGTGATCGAGTTTGTTGCGGACGCATTGCCCCAAAAGCTGCGAGATCAGATGTTTGAATACTGCACCACACGTATTATCGTCGACATCGTCTACGAGATGTGAGGTTGTGCTTCACCTGCTGACTCCACTAGTACTGATTGAAGACGTGTTGTTGCGCAGCTCGTCAGTGGTATAGAATTGTCAGTAAACTTCTTTCAGGCACATGTTTGGTTTCAATTGCAGAGGTTGACCCTCTATGGTAGGCGCAGCATGTCTTTCCGAAACTGTGCCACCGCTAGTTTAGTTTAATCGTCACGCATCGGGGTGATCTCAGTGCGCAGTGTATTACTTGCTTGGCTTTGCCCTGGCTGGAAACTTGACAATAATCGAGCCATTTGGCGATGATCAGCACGTCCAACTCGTCCAGTTGATCGGACATTAGCGTCACGAATCGTACATTCAACCAACAGTAGTGTCGCATCCAGATTCACTTGCTATGGTCTAGTTGATAGCACAACAAGCTCCTTCGTCACGAAGCAAATATCCAGCGGTTGTGTTCGACCTACAGGGGCGATAATGCTTCTTGACACGTACTGACTACAGTTGGAATGTCAGAATGTCGATAAGAAGCACAGATGCTCATAAGTCCTTGGCATTTCTGTCAACAATTACGTCTGGCTACCGCTTTTTACGTGTTGAACTGAAGATTGCGAACGAGATAACCGTCACCCGTGTGCTTCGTCATGAACAGGGTTCTATTCGTGCACTACAGAAACCTTTTGGACAAATGCAGCTCAAGATCACGGTACGACATGTGATACCGATTCCGATGTCTTCTTTCTCGATGACTCGTTCACTTCATACAGGTTGCGCTAAATTCGGCCACCTACTTGCGCGGAACTTCCCGGTGAATTTGTTCACATCCCATCGTATCCCTTCGTCTACTCAGCTCAACAGCACAGTTTTAGTCTATCAGGTTGCAGATGAAACAAAAACAATGAAGTCGATCTTGGCCTCGCCGTGAGCCTAATTACTCAGTTACTGCTTTGGCCTCACAGTTGATTCGATCTTGTTAACATTGATCTGGTCGTCGCATACCCCTAGTCCAATGACTTGCATGTCTGTAAAGACTCATAGTGGATTATGTACATCTCAGAATTTCATTCTGAAATGTTTCGTTTTGATTGTGTTTAATCCGACGATCTCCTTCCCACACAGCGTGCAATAGTTTACAAAGCAGCGTGTCGTCGCATCTACAATTCATGTTCAGCTTACAGGTGCCCACACCATCGACACTTACTTTCCTGCAAGTCATTGTCCAGTATGACCGTACACAGACCATCGCTCCCAATCTGGCAGATAAAACTAATCTGCAGCCACCCAGCGCAGAACCACGATTAACCCAATGACTGCTCTAAATAGGCGCCAACACGCCGCACAAACTGCTTATAAAATGGCTTTTTCGTATAAGGATCCAGATAAACACGAAACAACTCTTGTGAAAAAGCGGTGGTGATGAATGTAGTTCTTCCATATGTCACAGTGTGCAAAGAAATATGGTGCCGATCGTTGCCAGAGTCTACTGACTTGCGCGAAATAGTTTGCAGAGTTCCGATGGTTCGCATGAACTCTACTCGAGCCAAATACCGGCTATCCCCTGTGTCTGTTCGCTATCCAGATACTTTATCGCATAGAAGCATAGAATGAGACGATCCTAACTCGAAAGAGCTTGTATCGATCTCGTCGACAATATCTGTACCATCATCCACAATGCGCAGTTGCAGTGCTTTTGCCAAATGCATACCATACGCTGCACTGCATTCAGCTTTCCTCTAACTTTGTAGTCGTTTGTTCTTTCTCCTCAATATACTTCAAGTCAGTATCATCCATCTCTCCACACAATCACAGACGCGAAACAGTCAAGTGTAGTAGCTGGGTTTTCTAAGTGCGATCTCATCTGACCTCTGCCCTCGAGCTCGCACGTTAAGGAGCAATGATTGGTCAGAAAGCGTAACCGTATGTACGGCTTATGACCCCCAAACACTCCCATCACCAGGAGCTACAATTATTGCCGGTCTGAGGAAGGAAGAGAAGAGGGGAAAAGGTCCACGTATGACGAGCGTGAACGACGTGGCGATAGAGGAGATCAAGTCTTCAAGCAGCGGCAGCGGCCTTGATGAGTGGATCGAGAACCTGCGCAACGGCAAGCTGCTGAGCGAGCTGGAGCTCAAGCAAGTGTGTGAGATGGTGAAGCTGCTGCTCATCGAGGAGTCCAATGTCCAGCCCGTGAGCAGTCCCGTGACTGTGTGCGGCGACATCCACGGCCAGTTCTTCGACTTGCTGGAGCTCTTTCGCTGCGGTGGCGACATCCGGGACACGAACTACATTTTCATGGTTGGGTCCTACATCTCCTTGTGGTCGTTAGTGGGTGGAGAGAGGTCACTTATAGCCTTGGAAACGCCTGACTGTGGTTTATTCTTTTGCTTTGTACCTGGGTGTCCACAGGGTGACTTTGTCGACCGAGGACACAACAGTGTGGAGACCTTTGAGCTCTTACTGTGCTTGAAAGTGCGGTACCCAGACCGCATCACACTACTGCGTGGGAACCACGAATGTCGACAGATTACTCAGGTCTATGGCTTCTATGAAGAGTGCGTGCGCAAGTACGGCAATGCCAACCCCTGGAAGTACTGCACGGACGTGTTTGACTACCTCAACTTGGCTGCGATCATTGACGGACGCGTGCTGTGTGTGCACGGCGGCTTGTCACCGGAGCTTCGCACGCTCGACCAGATCCGGACAATAGAGCGCCAGCAGGAGATTCCGCACGAAGGATCTTTCTGCGACCTCATGTGGTCCGATCCGGAAGATATCGAGACGTGGGCGATGAGCCCGCGTGGTGCTGGCTACTTGTTTGGTGCTAAGGTCACACAAGAGTTCAACCAGATTAACGGACTGGACCTTATCTGTCGGGCGCATCAGCTTGTGCAGGAAGGTTTCAAGTACATGTTTGACAACAGTCTCGTGACGGTCTGGTCAGCACCCAACTATTGCTACCGATGCGGTAACGTGGCAGCCATTCTGTCCTTTGACGAGAATCTCGAGCGCGATTTCAAGTTGTTTCGTGAGGTACAAGTAGTGGCGCCTCATTGTACATTGCACCGTTCACGATCTGATACACCTTGTTCTGTACTGGTTGTAGGTTGGTGAATCATCCGATGGCTTTAATCAGCGTGCGCTGGTGCCGTATTTCCTGTAAGTGATTGCCGGATACGCCAGTCGACGTCTCGGATGGCGCTGAGATTGGCGTCTCGCGATCATGCAAGACGTTTTACACTCTCTTTACATTGGAAAAAGGGACAACGACATTAGCTATTAGATACCGTATCAGGAGTTTAATCGGATGGATCCTTTACACTACCTCGGTACCAACATGCGTCGCGATAGCGTTCGCTTATGAAGGTGCATGCGTCAGCGGCGTTACATGTACCACTATAGGCTCTGGCATCCCGCTTGTCTGCACAGAATATGCAAAATTCCATCCGTACCCAGCTCCCCCGTACTCTCCGAACCGATTCAAGCAGACCATGCCTCCCAAAAAGTGCGGATACACCGCAGCAATTTGGCGCAGGGCATGTTCGCATGCTGTTTGCGGCTATCAACCGAATTTATACCACAAAATGTTAGATCGAGATGGCAGCGTTAGTGAAGTTGTCACAATGCCTTGACGTACGTGGACGCCTCTTTTCATTTCTTGGACTGCAACGAATGAGGGCAAGAAGCGCATCATCACATCGCCGTCGCCAGTCGCAGCAGCTCCGCCGATAGATGAGTCAACGTAGGCCCCCGCACCTGGCACCGCGGCATCGCCAACACGCCTAGTGGCCCGCAAAAGATCAGCAGTGCAATCTGACGCCACGAACACAGCAGCGTTTTTGGTCTCACCCGGCAATTTTATGCGTTGCTCCATTGGAGCTAGTGCCAGCAGCCATGTGCTCACTGTCCGCCAGAGCCACCATCCCGATGGTGTCATGGTTCTCCGTCGAGATCAGCTTTTCCACGTCCACAGGGTTCTGCCTGTTAGTCGGAACCAGCAACGACTCACCTTGCAGCTTCTCCGTATACACTGAATCTGACAACACGAACGGTCTGTACGGCGGACACGAAGTGTTCTGTCCATGAACGTTACGGAAGTAGTTGGGCTGGCACTTGCTGTCCTGCCAGCGCTTGTAAACCTCCCGTGAGTGCCGTGTACTGAGTGACGTTTCTTCGAATCCCATCATCTTTGCAAATGCCAACGCGCCATCGCCAGCCAAGATGCTGTGAGACGAATGTTCCATGACGGCGCGTGCCACTCGAATCGCAGGTTTCACACGTCGCAGCTGCGCCACTGCACCCATTTCCATCGTCGAGCCATCCAAGATCATCGCGTCCAGCGTCGTCTCTCCATTAGAGTCGGGGCTTCCTCCGTAGCCCACCGTAAAGTCACACTGGTCGACTTCGCAGCGGTTACAGCCTTCGGTGATGGCGTCCAGGGCGTGAGCGCGACGACCAGGTCGCTGCAGCGCCTCGAAGCCTGCGCGCGTTGCGTTGACAAACGGCCACGTGTTGATCACGACGTCTGCGTGCTGTGAATTGCGGCCGTCTGCAGAGCTTTGGAGCATCACGGAGCTCGCGAGCAGCACTAAAATGCCGCTGCTGATCCAGCGTGGACGCGATCGCTGCGTCATTGTGTGACTAACTGTCGAGCACATATCGTGACACTATTTTTGCCAGTAGTAAGAATGCTTATTATTTGCACCAATCAAACCTCGGTATAATGTTTGGATGCACTGGTACGCGGAAAGGCCCAAAGCAGTTGGTATAACTTAAAGATAGGGGAGCAAGCTCTGGGACTCGCCTTTCGATACAAGTCTTTCAGTCCAAAGAACTGACTTTAGTTCAGTGTATTCACGTGACATTCCAAGTGGTCGGCAGCTACTGCATCGGATGTATGAGAGTGATTGCGGATTATTGTGTTCAAGCTTCTGGTTGATGTTGTTTATGTCTTAGAAAGGCGGACGTGAGAAAAGAGAGACTGGAATAATCCTGCTTGGGAACGCTGTCGACCGCGAAGTGCGGCCGACGACATAGAATGGATTCATCATGCAGAGAGATTGCATTATAGGAGCTTCTTCTGCTACCAAGGAGTAAAGGTGACCGTAAATTCTTACTTATTCACTGTATTTTGTACTTCGAATGGAAAACAACATCACATTTGCCGTTTGCAGGTGCGAGATTTTTGCTGCCTCTAAGAGCGGCGTTTGCAATGGTAATTGAGCGGTATTTTAACTACTACTTGAATTACTGTTTCAACGAGAGGTTTAACTAACGGTGCTAATTATATAAAGCACTTCCAAATAAACGTATTAACTGCGCATTTAACCTCCATTTTGTTTTGGCGATGCTACCTTCTACCCCTAAACCACGCGAAAGTCCAGTTCTTGAAAATGGCGGTCACCACCACCACTTTGTGCTCGGGCTCGCCGTCAGCGACGCTGCCATCAAATCTTTTTCTCTCACCGAGCCCGGAAATTCGGGTTTGGGGTGCTGTAACGTTTTTCGCGGCAGCACTTGCACAGTGCGCGACACATGGATGTCGATCACGGTATTAAGGTGGTCTTGGGTAGCTGTACTGCAACGTGGCTTAATCAGCATGACATGGTATGTCTTGCCGTTCGTGCTTCTTAAGTTCGAGTATTGGATGTTTACTAAGCCTACAAATGAGGTGCAATTGGATCTTTATGTGTGCACACAGCGAAACATAGATACTGCTTCAAGCAAAAAGTGAGCGATGCCTGTCAAAGAATAAGTTAGACTGTTCGCAACATGCTCTCTTTGTGTCACACATAATTAAAAACTCATGTCAAGTGGACGAGCAGGCTTGTAGGCAATCAATATCTTTGATTTGGTTCATGTAATACTACCCGAATCCCAACAGCAATAGAAGCTGCAGCATGTCCATGCTTGTGACATACTCATTCGACAATACGCCATAGTAGACTACATAAAGAAAGCAGTGATAGAGATGAGCTAGTATGTAGCAACCATAGTAGATCTTTGCATCAATCTCCAGTCACTTTGATCAATATTATCGTTGTTACAAGTCATTACTGTAACAGAATCTTCTTCACATTTTTTGGTTTGGAAGCATGTACTGTAACGGGGTTGCACGAAATTATGGTACTTTGTACCAGAGGTGTTACACACCTGAGGTTACCCCTTTGTGAAGGTGATATAGAATATCTTATTGGTTTGTAGGGGCTGACGAGTGTCAGCCATTAGGTACGAAAGGTCTTTGAGTAGGATTAAAATATTCTATAGGCATTAACAAAAATAAAATCAGTTCCCATTTTGATCTAAAGGACACGTGGCTTGCGAGCCGTCTTGATCGTTGATCACTGATCACTAAGAGTTAGCAACACCTCCTTAAGGTAGCTACTCTTGAGCACTGAGTGCTGTCGATTCACTGAATCGTTAGGTCCCCTGGAACAGGGATCTGAAGCTGTAATGCTTGTTGACTCGTAAAGTCGTTAGTTCTTTAAATTAAGTTGCTCGTAGAGCATTAAGTCTTCCTCTGGCTTAAGGAGCTGTGTAGCTCCGCTACATGTACGATGAACGTGCAAAGACGTTGGTGCATCTAGAATGTTGTGCTGGTCAACACGGCTCTATAATCAATGAATACACTAAGGATCACACCGTCAGAAGCACCTATAATGCCTTTTTCTACGATCTTAACATTCAGCATTTGATTGTTGGAATCATTCATTTGCTGTCGGGGTCTTTCGAGCACTATAGCCGGGATGACACATCAACAAACCTTACGGAGCTCGCTGAGATGAGCATATGTCCGTGGGACAGGTTTTCTATCGTGTAGCTGATCAAGCACCCTTTGAGTAGCGCGACAACTTTATTGCTTAACTATGATTTTAAATTTAAAGAACCTAGATGAGGTGCTTTGACCCAGCTAGAGTTTCAATCAAAAGGTCCAACCAGAGGTTCAATAAAAAGCTCAACAAATGTTTCAATTACCGTTGTAAGCACGCTCCATGTGTCGATCATTTGCTTGTTAGCCCTCTGCTTGACCTTCGACACGTTTTAGCGACTCACGTGCAGAAATTGGTGCGTGTGTGACTTTTATTTGCTACGCGGTCGCACTTAGTGACCTTATCATAAATTATCACCTACAATGCTAATCTACTCATGAGGTTGAACAGGCTACATCGCACTCAGAAAAGCGTGTGATGTACTCCTGGCATTTTTGCGCGGACGCCCGGAAAATAGATTTTAAAAATTGGTACTCACTTTGCGTAGGGTTTCAAAAAACTGTAATAATCAGGCTCTCATATAATGTAAAAGCGTCTACACCAGCGAATAAATGCCTTTTTGACCTCACTGGACGTACTCGAATGCTTCTAATCGCCGGTAATATCACTTCTAGGCCTGGCAGCAAAGCTTGATGAAAGGAATACCACTTCGCTTTATTTAATATTCTATGCGGCACTGTAGCATGGTTTCTATTAGACATCGTTCAAAATCTAAGTAGCAAATTTACCCGAAGATAAAACTTGTGGACTCTGCAATGTGGAAGAGCACTAATTTTTAAAGCGCACATTTATTACGTGGCAGAAGTAATACCCCACGCTGCATAGCTTGAGTACGTGAATAGATGATGTGCAGTACATGCATTCACGACATGTACTGCACATCTTCTATTTACGTACTCAAGCTACGTTACTCGCTGTATGCTTTTCGCTCTCTATCTTAATTTGCGTCTAACGTCAAAGCAAGAGATTGCACGGTATCGACTCAACTTGCGTTGCCGCAAATATAGTAGCGCTCGGTCTAAATTAACCGGCATGATCGACTTCATTGAATAAATTAGAGCACCACCACACTCTACATTGCACTTTCGTACTTATCCAATGCTAGGCTGCGCCTTTTAATCAACATGTTATCGTCACGCCAACACTGTTGCATATGCAGAATGGGACGAAAAATTAATGTTGTTTCTTTTGCCAATACACGAAATTATATACGATAACACAATAACTGAAAATTAAAAAGCTACGTTTCTAATGTACAATTTTGAGTGAATAGAGCTATCCTAGTTATACACATATTGAGCGCAATAGTGAATATCAGCGATCATGTTCAAAATCTTAGGCTGAGCAGACAGGGCGTGGAATCCAAGCAAAAGGGGTATGTAACAATTCCCCAAAAATTCCCTCGGTAATTGTTAAAAAACAGAGAATTTTAGGTATAACTTACCCTTCGATATGTACACCCAGAAAACTGATTTGTTTTAGATTTACCATAGTTTTTACCGTAAATGCATAAAAATTAAAGCTGTCACATTCTAAGGTAAGGCAGCACTACGACCTTGGTATAGATGAAGGGGGGAGACAGAATATTGCGATGTCAAAATATCGCAATACGTGATTTTCTTTGCTTACACCGCAATGCATCGAATGTCTAGGCATCGCTGGCGGGCATGGTAATACACACTTATGCAATAACTTTTGGTTACACATAGCAAGTAGTCACCCAAGCAGTGCCGCGCAGGTGAGACCTGTAATCGGCTTTATTACAGGATTAAAACTAATGAAAAAATACATGTGTAGATGCTATGTCCGCTATTCCGGTACAGCGTGGCAACTTATTATCGGTTCATTACTCGGACAAAAGACTTAGGAAGAGCAGATTTTATGCATCTAAAAATGGGTAATTTATGACTGCAAGAACACCGTCGTACTTAGTACAAATACCAATTTCTTAATGAGTACGAATTAAACACAACTACACTTATTATAAGTTATCTTCAAGTTCATTTTCTTATGCAAAATATACTTTCTTCTTTAAATCAATTCCTTTTATTGATTTGTTCAATACTTCTTTTTAAATAGCAATCTTTGTGCAATTTACATATTGCTCTTCTAATATCTCCGCTTGCTCGTTCCGAGTACATTAATTTAAACGGTATATTATCAAAATTCCACATTCAGCGTCGAGCTGCCACAAGGCACTGGGGACAGATATGCACTACATGCCGAAAAGGGCTAAAGTACTGCTCGTTGTATACATGCTGTCTCACTTGATGCTGTCTAGTCGTTCACACTCAAAACTCGCTGCTCTATAGCCCTACACCTTGCAAAATGACATTATCCGCTCGAGTATGTGTGACCGTGATTTGCATCTTTAATTATCACATACGCTCATGTGCATTGCCTGGCCCCATGCGCAAGATAGAGTAGAGCATTTCAGGTCTTGTGTGAAAGATGGTATCGAACATAACCGGTTGCAGCACACATCTTTAAGCTTCACAATGCTAAACATTACCGCGGCATCCCCTTTACATTCAGGATTCGGATATGGGCCGACGAGAACCGCTACTGTGGGTTGCATCTCGGACATAGCGCGAAAAGTAAAGTTCAAGCGGAATGCGAATATCCAATTCGACATGACGTGTCCCTGGTTCGGGACGTATCCGGTTAACTCGGATCATCGACAAACTGGAACACCAATGGCAACGAAGTAAGGAGTGTACTTGATTAGTGTGTGTTATGTCCCGAACTCCATTTACGACATACGCAACTTCTCGAAGTGCTACGTTGGCTACTATACTGCACGATGTCAGAGTGAAAATGACAATAAAGAGGCACTAAGCACGAGTGGCGATACCTCCCGTGCATTGAACAGATACGCGGACGCTCTTGTACAATGTGTGGATGGGGATCGTGGCCTGTCTAGTAGAGTTATCTGCTCAATTTGCAAGATAGTGTCGGGGATGCTGTGCGGGCAGTGCATGAGGAATAGATGTTGGTTCTTGTTGGGTATGTGTTGGTATCGCGTTGCTGTGTGTGTGTTTGTGTGGTCGGGCGATGTGTGGTCGGGTACTGTGTGTCGTGTGATGCGTCGTGGTTGATGTGTTGTTGTGTGTATGTGTGTTTGTGTTTGTCCTTTCTATGTCGTCGTCAGTGTGCCCGAGTGGTCTAAGGGGGTAGACTCAAGTTCTACTGCGTTCGCACTCGTGTGTTCAAATCCCACCGCTGACACGTAGGCTCCGACCACTGGAAGTTACCTGCTGCTCAGCAAGAACGAAACGGCAGCATGTGAGACACTGGCCCGCACCAAGCGAGGCAGTAAGTACGACAAGTGCTGAATTCTATTGGACGACTTCAGCGTCCTGTGCGCGTATGCAGAAGTCGTATCGTCAATCCTCTGTCAAGTGCCACTTATGCTTATGCTCGACTCGCTTATATCCATTGGGGTGCTACGACTCCGCTCTTCATATGGTCTTTCAGCTATAACAGATTCAAACATAAACCGATCTGACCGATCGTGACAAAGTGTAATCCCGAACGTTATTCCACTGTCTTGTAAGGACTCGTCGAAAGCTTTCAATTGCGGCTGCAACTCCAAAATGGATGCTGCGCTCACTTTGTGACATCGTTGAACTACCTAGTTGACAGTATCGCTCAGAAAATGAGCCTGTCCTATTATCACGAGACGATTGTATAAGAGTGGTCACAGCTCTTAGGCGTCAATAATCTCATGAAGAATAGCTGGCTTGGAATATGATGACCCTGGCTTTGACAACAGACCCTTAGAGTCAAGCAACACAGTATTCAACCTCAGACCAGCGGTCCCCAGTTCCATGTATTCACCCTTTACTAGTGCCACCCGTGAAGGCGGCCGGGATGAAACAAAGCGTTACCCAGCTCAAGCGCAGCACATTTATACTCTCCTGGTGATGGTCATGTAGGAGATTGATGGTGCAGCTATGTGTGGACAATGTACACTGCGTATATAGGCTTGAATTGATGCACATATATATGTGCTAGCACGACAGGGTACGGGTACGAATTGGTCAGATGTTTGGAAAGGGATTCCAAGCATCTGAGTGCGGGTTCGATTTCCGCCGTGGAGAAGTCAATTGCAAATGACCCCTGCAATCAGGTGTTTGGGGTTCACCAGAACCTTGGCCTCCCTGAGGTTATGTCCCCCACACCACGCAAGAACTATCATTGGGCATAGGCTTGTGTGGAGTGTTTACCGCAGGTATGTTGCGAGTCGTGATTACCCAAGATAGGAAATGTCACATAGGAGAGAAAAAACGGTGAAATCGGTGGCTGAAAGTCATCGGTTTCTGATAGCCATTGGTTTCGATTTGCGAATCCAATTGAATACAACTCACTTTTCGGTTTTCCATCCCGACCGCAAGTCCACCTCATCATCAGAAACCTAAGTCAATTCAACAGTACAAAATCTAAGACTTTGTGGCACACATCAGAGAGAAAGGGAACGCGACAATGGCCAATGATTGGTTAATTAAATGGGTAATCAGCGGGGAAGAGACGTAAAGGTATGGACAGCAAGCGGCGATATGACAGTACAGAAGATAAGAGATAACACACGATTTATAACTCACTTTTGATGCTACTATTTCGGCCACAAGCATCATCTACTGAGCGCTCACGTCAACCTTCGCATTCGAAATTGGTGTGGTCGGGTGCTGTGCGGTCAGGTACTGTGTGTCGTGTGATGCGTCGTGGTTGATGTGTTGTTGTGTGTATGTGTGTTTGTGTTTGTCCTTTCTATGTCGTCGTCAGTGTGCCCGAGTGATCTAAGGGGGTAGACTCAAGTTCTACTGTGTTCGCACTCGTGTGTTCAAATCCCACCACTGACACGTAGGCACCGACCACTGGACGTTACCTGCTGCTCAGCAAGAACGAAACGGCAGCATGTGAGACACTGGCCAGCACCAAGCGAGGCAGTAAGTACGACAAGTGCTGAATTCTATTGGATGACTTCGGCGTCCTGTGAGCGTATGCAGAAGTCGTATCGTCAATCCTCTGTCAAGTGCCACTTATACTTATGCTCGACTCGCTTATATCCATTGGGGTGCTACGACTCCGCTCTTCATATGGTCTTTCAGCTATAACAGATTCAAACATAAACCGATCTGACCGATCGTGACAAAGTGTAATCCCGAACGTTATTCCACTGTCTTGTAAGGACTCGTCGAAAGCTTTCAATTGCGGCTGCAACTCCAAAATGGATGCTGCGCTCACTTTGTGACATCGTTGAACTACCTAGTTGACAGTATCACTCAGAAAAATGAGCCTATCCCATTATCACGAGACGATTGTATAAGAGTGGTCACAGCTCTTAGGCGTCAATAATCTCATTAAGAATATCTGGCTTGGAATATGATGACCCTGGCTTTGACAACAGACCCTTAGAGTCAAGCAACACAGTATTCAACCTCAGACCAGAGGTCCCCAGTTCCATGTATTCACCCTTTACTAGTGCCACCCGTGAAGGCGGCCGGGATGAAACAAAGCGTTACCCAGCTCAAGCGCAGCACATTTATACTCTCCTGGTGATGGTCATGTAGGAGATTGATGGTGCAGCTATGTGTGGACAATGTACACTGCGTATATAGGCTTGAATTGATGCACATATATATGTGCTAGCACGACAGGGTACGGGTACGAATTGGTCAGATGTTTGGAAAGGGATTCCAAGCATCTGAGTGCGGGTTCGATTTCCGCCGTGGAGAAGTCAATTGCAAATGACCCCTGCAATCAGGTGTTTGGGGTTCACCAGAACCTTGGCCTCCCTGAGGTTATGTCCCCCACACCACGCAAGAACTATCATTGGGCATAGGCTTGTGTGGAGTGTTTACCGCAGGTATGTTGCGAGTCGTGATTACCCAAGATAGGAAATGTCACATAGGAGAGAAAGAACGGTGAAATCGGTGGCTGAAAGTCATCGGTTTCTGATAGCCATTGGTTTCGATTTGCGAATCCAATTGAATACAACTCACTTTTCGGTTTTCCATCCCGACCGCAAGTCCACCTCATCATCAGAAACCTAAGTCAATTCAACAGTACAAAATCTAAGACTTTGTGGCACACATCAGAGAGAAAGGGAACGCGACAATGGCCAATGATTGGTTAATTAAATGGGTAATCAGCGGGGAAGAGACGTAAAGGTATGGACAGCAAGCGGCGATATGACAGTACAGAAGATAAGAGATAACACACGATTTATAACTCACTTTTGATGCTACTATTTCGGCCACAAGCATCATCTACTGAGCGCTCACGTCAACCTTCGCATTCGAAATTGGTGTGGTCGGGTGCTGTGCGGTCAGGTACTGTGTGTCGTGTGATGCGTCGTGGTTGATGTGTTGTTGTGTGTATGTGTGTTTGTGTTTGTCCTTTCTATGTCGTCGTCAGTGTGCCCGAGTGATCTAAGGGGGTAGACTCAAGTTCTACTGTGTTCGCACTCGTGTGTTCAAATCCCACCACTGACACGTAGGCACCGACCACTGGACGTTACCTGCTGCTCAGCAAGAACGAAACGGCAGCATGTGAGACACTGGCCAGCACCAAGCGAGGCAGTAAGTACGACAAGTGCTGAATTCTATTGGATGACTTCGGCGTCCTGTGCGCGTATGCAGAAGTCGTATCGTCAATCCTCTGTCAAGTGCCACTTATACTTATGCTCGACTCGCTTATATCCATTGGGGTGCTACGACTCCGCTCTTCATATGGTCTTTCAGCTATAACAGATTCAAACATAAACCGATCTGACCGATCGTGACAAAGTGTAATCCCGAACGTTATTCCACTGTCTTGTAAGGACTCGTCGAAAGCTTTCAATTGCGGCTGCAACTCCAAAAGGGATGCTGCGCTCACTTTGTGACATCGTTGAACTACCTAGTTGACAGTATCACTCAGAAAAATGAGCCTGTCCCATTATCACGAGACGATTGTATAAGAGTGGTCACAGCTCTTAGGCGTCAATAATCTCATTAAGAATATCTGGCTTGGAATATGATGACCCTGGCTTTGACAACAGACCCTTAGAGTCAAGCAACACAGTATTCAACCTCAGACCAGCGGTCCCCAGTTCCATGTATTCACCCTTTACTAGTGCCACCCGTGAAGGCGGCCGGGATGAAACAAAGCGTTACCCAGCTCAAGCGCAGCACATTTATACTCTCCTGGTGATGGTCATGTTGGAGATTGATGGTGCAGCTATGTGTGGACAATGTACATTGCGTATATAGGCTTGAATTGATGCACATATATATGTGCTAGCACGACAGGGTACGGGTACGAATTGGTCAGATGTTTGGAAAGGGATTCCAAGCATCTGAGTGCGGGTTCGATTTCCGCCGTGGAGAAGTCAATTGCAAATGACCCCTGCAATCAGGTGTTTGGGGTTCACCAGAACCTTGGCCTCCCTGAGGTTATGTCCCCCCACACCACGCAAGAACTATCATTGGGCATAGGCTTGTGTGGAGTGTTTACCGCAGGTATGTTGCGAGTCGTGATTACCCAAGATAGGAAATGTCACATAGGAGAGAAAGAACGGTGAAATCGGTGGCTGAAAGTCATCGGTTTCTGATAGCCATTGGTTTCGATTTGCGAATCCAATTGAATACAACTCACTTTTCGGTTTTCCATCCCGACCGCAAGTCCACCTCATCATCAGAAACCTAAGTCAATTCAACAGTACAAAATCTAAGACTTTGTGGCACACATCAGAGAGAAAGGGAACGCGACAATGGCCAATGATTGGTTAATTAAATGGGTAATCAGCGGGGAAGAGACGTAAAGGTATGGACAGCAAGCGGCGATATGACAGTACAGAAGATAAGAGATAACACACGATTTATAACTCACTTTTGATGCTACTATTTCGGCCACAAGCATCATCTACTGAGCGCTCACGTCAACCTTCGCATTCGAAATTGGTGTGGTCGGGTGCTGTGCGGTCAGGTACTGTGTGTCGTGTGATGCGTCGTGGTTGATGTGTTGTTGTGTGTATGTGTGTTTGTGTTTGTCCTTTCTATGTCGTCGTCAGTGTGCCCGAGTGATCTAAGGGGGTAGACTCAAGTTCTACTGTGTTCGCACTCGTGTGTTCAAATCCCACCGCTGACACGTAGGCACCGATCACTGGACGTTACCTGCTGCTCAGCAAGAACGAAACGGCAGCATGTGAGACACTGGCCAGCACCAAGCGAGGCAGTAAGTACGACAA